ATGATTGGGATCCCTGGCTGGAGGGTGAAGGCTGGTTGCCGGTGGGCGGTATGTCGGCTGGTGTGGGACGTAGCGACTGCTCGCCGATGGTAGGTGACTGCTGTTCTGCTGGCAGTGGGGCGATTTCTGCTCTCTCCTTCGCAAGTTGGGCGTCCACCCTTCGTTGAACTTCTTGTTGCAGCTCTTCTTTGCTGAGGGTGGAGAGGTCGATTTCGGAATCCTCCGAGGTAGGCATGATGTTTTTGTTGTGGGAGTCTACCGATTGCGCGTGAATGCACAACCCCCCGGTGTACTACGACCGCGCGCAGAATCTGAATCTGATTCGCACTAGTGTGAAAGGTAAACTACGCGGGGTGCAGCAAGCCCGTGTTGGGCGTCTGTTGGGGCAGTGGGTAGTCGGCCGTGTTAGGCCGAGAGAGAGAGGTAGAGATTGAGATTGCGTTGGCGTTGGAGAAAGCGTTGGAGAAGGAAACTTGATTGGAGAGAGACGGCGGTAGCGGTGGAGAGAGCGAAAGCAGTGCGCTAGATGCGCGAGCCTTCAACACCGCAACCAAGGCCAAAAGGGTCCCCGTATCTGCATCGGTGGTACCCATCAACATACGAAATTCTCAACACGTATCCCCGAGGATCCTCATGTCTAGAGACTGCTGCGAGTATATCTTACAGCAGCGGACAGGGCTCCTTATGTTGTTCCCTTCGCGCTGTACTCTCTCCGTCCGTGCTCGGCATCATTTGAGAGTTACCAAGTACTGCATGAAGGTATGACTGCTGTGAACGTTGTTTGTGCTTACACACCAGGATGCCGAAGGTCCTGCTACACGAGCTCGCGGCGAAGAAGTACGCGACTTTCCTCGCCGAGTCGCTGTCTCCGGCGGCGGCGAAAAACCCGGGAAACCTCAACCTCCCTCCTCTCAGCTACTACCGGCGCCCGAGGCGGAAGCGACAGGTAAGCTCGGTTTCCTTCGCGATGGGGTCTAAGTGGAGGTGTTTGTCGTGCTATGCATGCATGCATCTTGCTGTTGTGCGTGTGTTTTTTCTATGCTCTGCCTACAGGAGTTGCTACAACAAGCGTTCGACTGCTCAAGTCAGTGCTGACTGAGCATTTACTGCTGTATCTTCAGTAACAGGATATCCAAAGGGTTTGCTTGCCAACGACAGCAGTTTGCGCCTAACCCGACCCGGTCGCAGGGCAACCCAAATCAAGGTCCGGCATGCACAGGGTGCGGCTTTCCATCGCTAGCCGTTGTAGATATGTATCTCCTGTTGCCTTTTTTAGCGTATGCACCAGTCTTCCCCCGGCCTGCCCCCCTCCGTGCTGGGTTGGGCCGAGGTCCGTAAGTGGACTTAGACCTCGAAACACCACGCAACAAAGACGGATACACAGCCCCTATCACTGATCAGAAGGGGATCCTGAGCTTGGCGGCCGGGAACTACCGCTGTCCTAAGATCGGGGAAGTTCGCGACCTAGCCGACTTGGGTAGCTGCAAATGAGACTAAATCCAGACGCCCCGGCTTGGACACCGGGGCCATGCAGCAGCAGAGAACACGGTGACCACCGTGGGGGTCTGCACCAGAGAGGGGAAAGGAGAGGGTTCAGAGCTGGAGGGCCGCACCGCTCTTGGACAAGACAACTCGCTGTGACAAAAGGCAAGCACCGGGGTAACTTGTACGTGAGCCCGAGAGCCTGCAAAAAAATTAAACGACAAAAAAAGAGGGCACGAAAGAGGAAAAGCAGGGGACGGGCGAAGCGTAGGCTGGCTAAGAGAGCAGTACGCACCGCCCGAAAGAGATAGCAGGGTCGACTTCTTGGGGTAACAACCTGGAATGTGCGGACTCTGGCTGGAAACGGGAAGAATGGGTACGGGCGAGCCTTCAACATCCTACACGAGGCAGCGAAGCAAGATATATCGGTCGTAAAGCTGCAGGAGATCAGGAGGCCAGGTCAAACGGAGTTTGCAGCAGCGGGTTTCCGAGTGTCATGCTGTGGTACGGACAAGCGTAATATCCATGGTGTGGGAATAGCCGTTAAAGAGTCACTGTGCAAGACCTCCACTTTCACCACGAACTATGTCGATGAACGCCTCATGGCCATGAGGTTTGAGATGACGGGCCACCGCGGAGCTGTCAACTTCGTTGCTGCGTACGCCCCAACTGAGGTCGCTGCCGCTGACAGCAAGACAGAGCTCTGGGGAAAACTTGACAGTCTCGTGCGGAGGATTCGCTCCAAAGAGTGCGTGTATATCCTAATGGACGTCAATGCTCGGACGGGAGTGAGGATGAATGGGGAGGACGAGGGCGTCATGGGGATACACGGGCGTGATGAGCTAAACGAGAATGGCAGACTACTGCTGATCTTCGCAGCGGACAACAAGCTAGCACTCGCGAACACATTCTTCGAGACACGCAAGGGTTGGAATATGGCACACCTACAACGGTGCGTCAGGGACCGACCGCTGGCGCCTCTACTAAATTCTAACGCGGCAGGCACACCGCGGCCGAGTGTCTAACATGGTTGTCATCCCCCAGCCGGTATTCCCAGTCAAGGCGGACTCAGACCAAAACATGGTGTTAGCCACCGTCAACCTCGGTGGCAGGCTTGCCCACAACCGAGCAGTTCGGACCAAACCGAAACAGAAGCAGTTCGACCGACGGGAACTGCAGGTCGAAGCAACGCGATTGGATGGGACTACGCGGTTCCCAATTAGGAGGCCTCAACCTCGACCATCAGCAGCGCGAACGAGCGACCACCACCCCGGAGAAGGCGACCGAAATCACCTATGCTCTCCTCGAAGCGGCGAGGGCGATACTACCCGAGGAACCGCGGAGACGATGCACGCAGAGATGGTGTGAGACCCCTGAGACAAGGACAGCATTGGAGGAGGCCCTCACCAAACGGCGGGAAGCGCGCCAAGCGATGAAGGACAAGTTAAACACAACATCGTGGAGGGCCCTCAAAGCAGCGTGTAAGGGAGTGGCCGCAGCAGTCGAAACGGGCATATATGCCCACCTGGACAGATATGTGACGGGACTCGAAGCGGTCTACAAGGACCGCGATATGCGAGGCCTCTACCAACACCTCAAGAGATCAGTGCGTCTCAGTGGGAGACAAGCGGGAGGACAGCAGCCCGTTGCGGACGAGAATGGCGTGCTGCTCCGGAGAACGAACGACATCCTCCAGCGATGGGCGAGATTCTTCGGCACCCTCCTCAACACCAATTCCCCCACCCTGAGCCCAGACATCATCGAACAAGTGACGCAGCGACCGGCGACACGTGCCACTCGACGCTTGGGAGCGGTGCCAGACCTCGAGGAAGTGGAACGGGCAACGAAAGGACTGCAGAACTGGAAGGCACCCGGCAATGACTCCCTCCCTGCAGAATTGCTCAAGATCGATGTCGACGACGAGAAACACATCGTCCTGTAGCACCTCCGTGACATCCTCCTCGAGGTGTGGAACGGAGGAGAGATCCCCCAAGAGTGGAAGGGCACAACCATCAAGGTGTTGTACAACAAGGGTGACCGGTCCAACTGCAACAACTCAGGGGGATCTCGCTCCTATCTCACGTAGGCAAGGTCCCCATCAAGATCATCACCAACCGCCTAAGCGCCTCCTGCGAAACCAACAACATACTCCTGGAGGAACAATGCGGGTTCCGACCTGGGCGGTCCACCATGGACATGCTGTTCGTCGTGCGATGACTCCAGGAGTTGGGGCGGAGGAGGAAAATACCGCTCTACATGTGCTTGGTCGACCTGCAAAAGGCGTATGATTCGGTGGACCGAGAGATGCTGTGGAAGGTCCTGGCCGGGGCCGGGATCCCTGGGACATGATTGCCGTCATCCGCCAATTCCAGGACGAAATGCGGGCCCGGATGCGCATGGACGACGGAGAGGTTTCGGCCTGGTTCATGGTCACACAAGGCCTACGACAAGGGTGTGTGCTGTCCCCCTTGCTGTTCAGTATCTTCTTCGCCGCGGTCATCGAGGTCGTTACCATTCGATTCAGCGAGGATGATATTATTCTGGAGAACCTCGTGTACCTGGAGGAGGAGACGGGGGCGGGGGCGAGCACACCACTTGACCGAGTGCGGAGGGCGGTATGGGGGATGCTGTATGCCGATGACGCCGGCGTCGTATTGAGGTCTGCCGAAGGACTGGCGAGAATGATGACCGTCATCGTGGAGGTGTTCGGGAAGTTTGGGCTGACGGTATCGGAGACGAAGACGGAGACGCTCCTGATGCGCGCAAAGGAGAAGCACACAACAACACCACCGCCCCCCCCGCCGCCACCGCTGATCATCGAGGCAGCAGGGCAGAGGTATGCCCAAACGCCTGACTTCCGGTACCTAGGTGGCCTCGTCAACGATCATGGCGACCTCACCCGGGAGATCAATTACCGGAGCAGAGCAGCGTAGGCGTGCGTCAGGAAATATGGCCAGGATCTCTTCGGCAGGCCGAAAGCACCGTTGCGACTACAGCTCGCCTGCTCCAGGCCGAGGCGATGGAGGCACTGCTGTACGGCTGCATGACATGGGCCCCACGTCAAGACCAATACCGGACGTTGCGAACGATACACCACCGACTGCTCCTGCGAATAATCGGTTACTAACGCACGAAGGGCACCTACCGGCAGCTCTCCTACGCCCAGACCCTGAAGAGGGTAGGGTGCCAGAGCGTGGAAACAACTATTCGGCAACGGCGCCTGCTGTTCACGGGAGCGCAGGCAAGGCAGCCAGACGGACGACTCCCGAAACGGGTGATGCTTGGCGAACTGATGGGGGGGGAGGGTCCAGGCAGGGGGAAACCGGAGCAAAACTGGCAGATGTGCCTGAAGGACGACCTCAGGATGTTCGAAGCAGAGCACGGATCTACGGACGCCGAGCCATGCTTCGTCGGAGTCGCGGAAAAACTTGGATGGAAGCAGCGAAGGTGGACCGGGGGGTACGGTGGCATACAGGGGTACTGCAGGGAGCTAAGCGGTTCATGGCGTCCTGGCATAAGAAGGAAGAGGAGGCTAGCCGACAACGAGCGCTCAACCGAAACAAGAAGCCCAACAACAACGTGGACACGGCAACAACCACGGGGGTGGGAAGGGTACAGCAGGCGGACGAGACGGCGAGGAAAGGCAGGAAACGCGAAGGGGCGGACCGAGTGGCGCGAAATACGTCGCGGAAATGAACCTCTTGCTTGACTTACTTCCCCCCCCCACCCCCCCACCCCGGCACTGCACCGTGGTATCAACCCCCCGCGAGCGATGATGTGCATGGACTGGCTTGAGTGGCCCGCTTTGTCTGGTGTTGTTATTTTGTTGCTTGTCGCTAAGGCGTGTGTCTTGCTCTTTCCCTTTGCTTCTCTCCATCTGCTCTCTTCCTTGCTTTTTCTTTTTCTTGTCCTTTTTTCCTTTTTTATCTTTTTCCAATCTAGGGTTACCTCGCATTGCGTGCAGAAGGCGAGCGGAGTGTTTTAGACTATCTGTCGTTGACTTTTTATTGGCTTGCGGACCCTTCGGGTCCATTTTATTTTCGTATACCTTGTTTTGGGTAAGTTAGCGTGTGACCACGGGAATCGACCCTGTCAAGTGTTAGACTAGTACGGACAGAGGAAGGTATTGGGCAGAGAGAACGGAACGGTTTTTAATGTGAAGACAACAACAACAACAACAATACCAACAACCCATCGAGTTTTCTTGTGAACGGAACTGAGAATCAGCCTACAGTGTAGGTGACAACCATCGCTTCTGAATCGAGGGAGATGGCAAGACGCAGGGGGAAATTCCGGATGGAAGGAGCAATGAATATCGTTTGGTAATGCATCCTGTGCATGGAGTTGACACTAGGTCGTGTGCATGCGATCGCGTAGCGTTTATTTAGGTTGCTTATCCATGGCCAAGGGTTGTTGCGCTTTTGGTCGAATCGGCACCACCCCCTTCGGCAAGGGCAGCAGCACTCACTTACCCTAGACGATCGCCTGAGAGACTACCATAGTCATGAAATTGCTTCACGAACCAACTCGTAAGGTAGCAACATGGACCTTTACTAATCGGCGATGCTGCTGTCTAACAATTCTCTCGATTTTCGCTCCGCCATACGAACGGTGCATGGTGTTGCCTCTCTCCCTTCGCCATCAATTTAGCGGTCGGACATGGCGAAACCCTTGCCGATATTTCACGTGCCAACGTCGGGACCAACGGAGGGCTCCCACGTGCACCAGTTCGCCCCGGAGTGGCGTAAGCCTATGGTGCGTCTGGAGTGGTAGAAGGAACGGTGATGAAATGGAGGATGGACGGTTCTATATACCGCTATGGACGTCGTCGTAATCATTGCGAAGCCGCACGCTCAACTCGGGAAGCCCCGCTTTGGCGCAGTCTCGTGTGGAGGTACCACCTCGTCAAAGTCTACGTGCGAGGTGGCTTCCAAGTGGCGTATGCGTTCGGTCAGCATGAATAGCCCGCGCACACGTACAACACGCTTTGCGCACCGGGACTAGAACTGCGTGTATAATCCAGCTGAAACACTGCATTCGTGGATGAACCAGTTTGCGCAGTCGATGCTGCTTTGAGAAGCAAACACACGCTGACTTATTCAGCGTCCTGGCATGAATCTATTGATGTTTTTGGAGAATATGAAGCTGGTTTTATTCCGGCGCGGTGGCAGGCATACGTCAGTGCGCACGCACCCTGCGCCCCCACGAAAAAATGGTCGATTGTGCGCAAAATATGTTTTTGCTCTGGTCGGCAAGAATCCAAGCCCCCCCCCCCCTAGGTTTCCTCATCGTGCATTCGTCTGTTGATTTTGTTCTTCTTGGCGTCCTCATGCCTTGTTGTCTTTGCTTGCACCAGTCGGTGGAGCCGGAACAGATCGGCGCCTTCTTCAAGCCCGGAAATGGGATAATCGAGCCCACCCTGCAGCCCCCGCCGGAGTTGAAGATGGCCGGCATTCAAGGCGAGCGCCGTTTTCTTGCACGCATCCCGCTCCCGAGCTGGTGGGGACACAACACACTCTAGCTCAAAGTTGCGCCTCTTTTGTGGCTGCAGTTGCTTTCGTCATCCCTTGTGTAGTGGAGGGACACGGTGCCCCTTTTACCCGAAAGCCCCCGAGCTTACTGCGAACGAAGCGGCATAGTTGGGCTCTTGCGTGACCCTCTGCATGCGCGTTTTTCGTGTCCTGACGGAGCTACTTTTGAACAGATTTAAAAAAAAAAAAACTCACAGACCAATGAAATCTCATCTATTTGAAAACTTTCAGACCAACAGACCGCCAACACCTGTGTCGGAGCGTGATTTTTTTTGAAAATATTTGCGTGAGGTTTTGGGATGCACAACAGCAGCAGAGTCGCCATAAAGTGTGTGTTCCGTCAAGAGCTGGACCCGCCGGCGCTCCTCCTCCAGCTTCTCCGCCGCCGCACGCTTCTCCTCCTCCGTCCTCACCCTGCTCGCGCGTTCGGCTTCCGCCGCAGCGGTTGCCAAGTCTCCCAGCCGCTGCTGCTCCTCCGCAACTTTTTTCGCCTCCTCCGCTGCTTTTTCCGCACTACGTTTGGCTGCCATCGCCTTGTTTTTACTTTCACGCGCTTTGACCGCGGCTGCGTGCGCGACGTCGCGGCTGCGGCTCAGCGCAGCAACGTCCCCGCGTTGAACGACGCTGTCGTACCGCCGCTGAGACGCCCTCTGTATCAAGTCCTTCCCATTTTCAGCTTCCAAAGTCGCCTGCTGCGAGCGATATTTTTGTTTTTCTGTGAAAGCCCTTTGTTTTTGGCCCGTTGGTTACCCATCAGTACTCGATCTTGCAAGACGGGCTGTGTGGCGTAGGAGTGGTGGATTGTGGTGCGGTTTGTTGTGCGACCTTCGCATAAACAGGAGCTGTGGTTTTGTCTGTTGGGGTTTTCGCAATCTCCACGCACGTACGTGGGAGCCGGTGGAAAGCACCGAAAATCACATGTTTTTAGGGTCTTTGGCGCCTTTTTGATGTCAGTTCGCAAAACTGACAGATAAACCCCTGCATATGACCTGTCAGCAGGTCTTCTTCGAGTAGCAAGAGCCAATTCGTATGTGGGTGCGAGTAATACGTATTGCAAGTTTGTCCTTTAATATCAAGTCAAATTGTAATTTGGCGGCGTCAGCAGGTTTGTCGGTTCAACTTTTTTTTGGAAGAATCACTCGCACATACAACCAACAGACCACCCGCACATACACGGTTTTTGGAGGGTCACGCGAGAGCCTAATAGTGGTATGTTTGCTTGCCCTGCACCGTGCTTTTTTGCCCTGGCCTGTTGTGCGGACTCGGTTAATCACATGGTCGCCGCCCGAAGACGATATACATGTACAGTAGATGAATTGAATCCCGCGTTTATTGCCCACGCCTAGAGAATGGAGAACACATGGAGAGTGATTGCATTGGCGTTACTGCGCCCTTGGCGTTTGTCCAGGTGTAACACACTTGCTGCCGCTGCTGGTACTGGAGCTGTTTCTCGCGGCAGCGCTTGTCATCCACCCTACGCCTTGAACTTGGTAGACCTACTTGTTTTCGTCTGTATCTATGTGGTTGTGTTCTTGTCCGAATCTAGCGCTCGGACGTCAATAATGGGGACCTGAACCTCCGTTATTCATCACGGGTGACTTTTTTGGCTCACACTTGCGATTTTGAAGGAGTCCTTCCCGACTCCCCCCCCCGGTGTTTGCCATTGGGGTTGGGTTTTCGTCGCTTTAGCAACGACGTTGTAAAACAAGCCCCCCCCCCCGCGGTCGCCCCCCCCGGTGTTTGCCATCGGGGTTGGGTTTTCGTCGCTTGGCAACGACGTTGTAAAACAAGCCGCCCCCCCCGGTGTTTGCCATCGGGGTTGGGTTTTCGTCGCTTGGCAACGACGTTGTAAAACAAGCCGCCCCCCCCGGTGTTTGCCATCGGGGTTGGGTTTTCGTCGCTTGGCAACGACGTTGTAAAACAAGCCAATTCACTTCGTGAACTCGGCAACCAGGTTACCGTTTTTTTTTTTTACCTCCGTTTTTTTTTTTGGCGGTAACCATAATGGTGGTCGAGTAGATCATGTTGTGCGGGGTGGAGAACCCTCACTCCGCGCAAGGGGGATGATCGCACCACGTTGTGTTAAAATGGTCAAGCACCCTCGAGGCAGTTACACAGTGCTTACAACTGTCTCTGGAAGTGAAAGCACCAGAAAATAAATTAAGTCATACGCAGCTGTCATCCGTACGCAAGGAAGTAAGCACAAGATGCCGAAAACCCTTAGCAGGATGCAGCGCACCCTTCATGCGACTCGCCGAATATCTCACGGCGCTTCGCGCTTGGTGATGTGAGAGCCTGGTCCGGTGAGAACCCGGCGTGCTCCGTCCCGGCTTTGTAGGGATGCGAGGTCAATGGTCTAACGACTACGGCATGCACGACTATGATTACACCCCCCTTCCCGACTTGTACGACAGCACCAAATTAACCAAAAAGAACGGCCGCCGTACATACGCATGCACCTGCAGGGAAGGACCTCAACCAGGGATACCTGAACTATGTGGAGCCCGACAGCACCTCTTCGACTTCGGAGATCGCGGAGATGCTGGACGAGACTCCGGGTCTAGAACGGGTGTGTGCGCCATAACCATAGCGTTTGCGGTTTAGTTAAGATTTATTTTTACTTGGGTCGACAACGCTATTCACCTGGCCAAAGGAAAAGGTTTGCGTCTGAGCGACGTGTGCGTGCCTCTGTGATTGGTCTGTTTTGTTTTGGTTAGGGTTAGGGTCGTTGTTTTGATGCGAGCGAGGAATTCGGCTGGACGAGACGGCTGCCCTGTTATGTTATTTGGACTCCTCGTTTCTACAGCATGGAACGTCGTCATTGTTGCTATTCTCATTCGAAAGACCGACCTTTAGCCGTGCCTATTCGGTCAAATTTGTTCCCGAAATGTCAGAAAACTGAAATTTGATGATGATGTTCTTCTGCCGGAGTGATGAAACGCCGAACCGCAAGTCCACGGAGAATAGCTTTTTCGACAGCTTTGCGGTTGGCTCTGGCTGCCTGTGAACGAAGAGCACACACTACCCTCAGTTTTTGCACACCAATCCCATGCAAAGCACATCATTCCCTTACATTCCCTTCTTGCGGATGGCATAGGCAAACGATAGTAAAACCACGGTTAACGGGAGTTGCAGTGCGACCACACACGAAAAAAATTTGTGCGTATTCCCCCTCCTCGTCTTTTTCTCTCGCGCTCCGTCCGTGCTTGCATAACCCGTTTGTCAAAAGCCTGTTGGCTGCTTGTTTTCTGTGTTGCTTTTATGGCATGTTTCTCCTCTTGGTGTTGGTGTTTGTCCCTCTTCATCGTCGCCCGGGCTCGGCCGACGGGCGACGCTTCTCCTTGATATTTGACTGGCATGCTTTCCCCCTCTCCACGAACTGTTGAGATTTCCCAGAGGCAGCGGCGTCGGGCCTCGACGCGAGCCCGGCGATGACACTGGTTTAACGTCCTTTATTGTGTGCTCTTTTGCCTTGCTGTGTTGTTTCGCCCCGCCTGCTTTTTGTTTTGCCGTTGTTTTGTGTCATTGCGATGTTGGGGGGAAAGGAGGAGGAGGCTGCTCACTTCATCACGTATCGCAACAACCTCAACAAGATCCTCGTCACGCCCTACTCCAAGCAGAAGTGGGAGATGGAGGTAACAGTCGCTCGGCTTTGTCAGCGTGACCCGCCACGAGGTGTTGTACGACGAATACTGTTGTAGATGCCACTTATTCTAGCAAAAACCACCACAGCAGTAGATTGCCACTGCGGCTGATACTTATGCGGCGGCCTAGATGTTCAACTCTTGGTCGTTACCGGGAGCGCCGGCGGTGCCGGCAGACCGTGTTAATCGCGAGTGGTTCCGGCGTACGGTATGGTACGATGTGGTACGGTAATCCCGTCCTCATCTTCTTATCGGGGAAGCGTCAGGATGGAAATCAACAGGAAGGATCGCTGTTTTTTTTTCTATGTGATACGCGCTGTACGTGTGTCATCGGGCCAACGGCACACACAGAAGGACAACGCAAACGTTTGCTGCTACATGCTGCTGCTGCCGCTGCCTCACTTTGTGAAGAATAGCACCCCCCCCTCCGCCTCGACAATGATCCATCCAAGGTGTTCAAAGAAGGAGGCGTAATCTACCTCGAGGTGGTGATGACCAACCGAAACCAGGGAAAGCTCGACCGCACTAGCTACTGGGGGAGGAGGTTCGAGACCCTGTGCGTGCTAGGGGTGGAGGGGGCCAGGCTCGACGAGCTGCAGAGAGGGCCAGGCGATCTACCCCGGCCGAGCTATTGCGGACTGTATCGGTCGAGGCTGGGCAGCCACAATCTCTTGATGGGTGAGAGACGGAAAGAGAAGGAGAGTTTCTGAATGGGTGTGGGGATGGCTCATCTAGAAAGGGGAATAGCGTTGCCTACGGCATGTGAAAGAAGGGATCAGGACATGCGACAGGAAGCGGCATGCAGACGGTCATGGAAAGCATGCAATACATCGTCTTCGAGGGTGTTTGTGTTTTTTTTTGTGATGCATTTGTTCTGTGTAGGAGAGAACATGGAGAGAGGGGGGCCCGGGGGCTTCGACATTCAGCGGTGGTTGGTTCGCGTTGCGCTGCGCTCGCGTGTTGGAACGGCCGCCGTGGAGCCGATGATTTTGGGAGGGTCTATGTGCACGTGTGCGTTGTTATGTTTGTACGCAGATTTTCTTTTATTCGCCTCTGTTGTATTAAAAGCCTGCCGAAAATGGCATGTGATGTCGGGATGGGCCGAGCGTAGTGGGTATGTAATTTACCAGTAACCTTTTGCTTGGAGCCGCCTGCTTGTGCGTGTAGCCTTGTGTTGAGGCCTGTTTTTTTTTCATTTCTTTTTCCGCCAGGCCCTTTTCTTGCGCTGAAGGCCATTTTCGTTTCCGACATATTCGTCTTTTTCCTTTTTTCAGGTGCGGAGATCGACGCGTGCCGGCCCGGTGACCCCGGAAGATTCGTCGAGATCAAGACCACGAGACTCATCAGAGACTCCAAGGTGTGCCGTGGCATGATTTTTGCGTTGTTTTCGCTAGCATGGGAGCAGGAGGCCGCCAAAACGTGAGGGTGTTGGTTACGGTACCCTCGATGTGTCGACACTTCGAAGAATTCGTCTCACGATCGGTACCCCCTCCGTCCGTTTTCATGTTGATTCGCTGGGTTTGATTCATTACTATAAACTGTTGTGGCCCGCCTACGTCTGTGCCTGCGCGCTCGTTGTTCGCCCACACTCTTGACTCGACTGCCGACCGCGAACCGTGCCTCCTCCCTACACCTACCTCCCGACAGGACGAGCAGATCTTCAAGAAGCACAAGACCCTTAAGTACTGGGCACAGTGCTACTTGGCAGGCGTGCGGGACATCGTTCTCGGGTACAGAGACGATCACGGTGAGCGACCGCTATAATCAGCGATGACCGCTATGAACAGCGATGACCGCTAAGAACAGCGACGACCGCCATGAACAGCGATGACCGCAAAGAACAGCGATGAACACTGAAACCAGCGATGGAAAGGGAATGGGTGGGGGGTTGGTAGGGGCAGTGAGTGGGGGTAAAAGCACGCGGAGTCGTCTCGCCTGGCATTGTCTTCTGTTGTATCAACAGGCCGGCACACGCGTGTTGGTGTTGGTTGTTTGTTGGTGGTCTTGTTTTGTGGATGAGAGGCAACCGGTAGACGCGAGAACGTATTGCTACAGGTTGTATGCCTAATACTTGTCATTTTCCACCTGTGACTGTGCGACGAACTACCGACGGCTGTTGGGGTCACTGACACTGACTGTCCATATCTGTCGCATCGGTTGTTATTCTGTGAGTCATGTCCGTCATCCAGCGCCTCACCACCATGACCATCGATTGAAGTGGCACCGCGTCCTACCAGTCGATAGGAGTATATCCCACCGTTGTCCTACTTTGCTTGGCTCGGTTTTGATCTCCTCGGTGCTGTGGTGTGCGTGGTAAGTCTTCACGTGGAGTATGTACATGCGCTAATTCGTGTTTGGTACACACTTCGTAACGTAAGCACGTGTGCCCCGCATTCCCGTTCCCGAACACGACGCTGCAGGCATAGTTCGGGACGTCAAGTCTTGGACCACCGACGGACTGGTGGAATCTGTCGACAAGAACAAGGTGAGGTCGATGGGAGAGCGAACACTAGCGCTCAGGTACGGGGTCGAAAAACTCTCGTTTTCCAGAGTGCCGGGGAGCGCGAGGTATCCGTGTCAGCCTGAAACTCGACACAGCAGCAGCGGCAGAAACATGCGTTTTCGGGGGGCAATGGCACACGTAGTGGTACTTGTCTTGTGCCAGTCGATGCGAGGAAGAGAAAGGAGGGTGGGGGGGAGAGGTGGGGGTGGGGCAGTGGTGAAAGGAGCCCGATAACGCGACCAATGGCCCGCATCCATTCTTCGTACAGCGTGATGCGACCGCAATGACGGGGTGTGCGGTCTGCTCGTTTTCGATTTTGTTCACATGTTGTCTTTCGTTAACAGACACACACAAAACACTCGACGCAAGGATCAAAGAGCTTTTTCTGACAACCAACAGGTGGAGCGCAACGGAACTTGAAATTCCTGCTGAAGGACAGAGAGCAGACCGCCCTTTCGACCCGTCTCGTACTTGTGCGCTCCCCCTTTTCGACAAGAGCACCCGCCCACAACCCTACTACTACATACATGCCGACATGCTTCCAAACTTGCCCCTGTGTGTGTGTGTGTGTATCCTTTGCTCGCTCGCGGTTTAAGCACTGGGACAAGGACGTGTGCCTGAACTTCGCCGACCGGTGCCTGTCGTTCCTCAAGGACAACGTTGACGAGGGCTTGCGCTACAGCTTCAAGTACCTCGAGCCCTTCGACCACCTTACCCTAGAGCAGCTGGCCCCGCAGACGATGGCCGCTGGCGGTGGTTCCGCCGCCACCGCCGGCGCCGGCGCCGGCGCTGTCCCGGGAGCAACGCCTGGCGGCGGTGTTGGGGTTGGTTACGCGTAACCCGCGTTGCCCCAGCTCCTCCGCCGCCGTCATTGTGAAGTAGCTCTTGTGACGAGTGCCCACCTTCCCAGCTGGCCTTCTGTGTTACCACCGCATATGTTGCAGAATTATATGGCGCGTTTCATGTCGTGCCGCGTGGTTTTGCCGAGTCTGCATGTATGCTTGAGGGAGTGCCCGGGGCCGTGGGGGAAGCTTTCTTATTCTCGTTGGGATGGTTCAATGGGGAATAATTACTTTGACCCGGTTCCCGTGTAGCCTTGCTTGCGCGTCTTGGCGTATGAGGTGGGTAGTTCAGTCAAGATCAGGCCGTTCATGATGTTGTGTTCCAAGGTTCGGCTACGCTGAGTGTGTCCGACGACAGTTTTGAACGGCATTCTGGTCAAGTGGTGTGCGGATCCATCGTCGTGCGGCCTTGAGTTTGTGGCAAAATATTGAAAGAGAATGGCGCATGGGTATCCGAGTATAGGGGCACCGGCGCTCCTGGTATCCCTACCTCACCCCGCTCGGGCGTGCGCGTTGTTTGTGGCGGTCGTTGCGCAAGAATTCCTATGCGAGACTTCTTTGTGGTGGTGGCAGAGAGAGGGCACCAGGCTGGAACAACATCCGGCGGCATTCCTTGCACCGACCGTAAAGTTTCAGTAGTTTTTTCTTTTCGTAAACGCACCAAATGATCGTTTTTCCGCATTGCTAAGGGAAAACTGCTCTGAAACTCATGTGAGAAAGAATCCCAGGTCATCATTTGATTGGACCATCATTGCCAATCATCGTTGTCTGCTCTCCCTCCCTGTCACGAAACCGAATTTTTTGCCTGGGATTTGAGTTTGATACCGTTTTGGAGACTTCGTAACGCGTGGCACCAATTGCATGTTGTTTGCACCGCAACCGTTGTTTATTTCAACAGCAGATCAGTAGCTACATAGCTTGTTTGGGTGTCACGCCTACATTGTATCCGAGCCTATCATTCGGCGGTTGTCGCTCGTGATGTGTCGCATGGGGGGGGTTGTTCGAGTCTAGGAAGCACGGTGTTTTTTTCCGTGTTCACCTGTTTCCGGCCTCGAGTCCAAAACTTGTCCAATTGTATGTGCATGTATCTACTGGAAGCACGGTGTTTTTTTTTCCTTGTTCACCTGTTTCCGGCCTCGACTCCAATACTTGTCCAATTGTATGGTGTGTAACAGGGTTTAATGATATCAAGAATCGCGGCTGACTGCTCTCTGTTGGCCTCAAAAGTTCAACCTGATTCAGTAGGGTCCACCTTCATGTAATTGCTTTCCTTCTTGCATAAGACTTGACCGGACATGTTGAGATCTTTAGACCGCGCTCTAATTGTCAAGTGTCTGAATCTGGCACCATTAATGAGCCTTCGCTTGTGCCTGAGGCATTACCGAGGGTAAACCACAACAACAAGCGGCGATCCTCGCGAAGAAAGAACAGTCTGTTTCAGTCTCCTCCTGTATTCGAGTGCCTATACGTGAGCCCGTATGACACAAATCCATCTCTCGACTATGTAGACGATCAATAGAAGAGAGAAGTTACAGAATAAGATACCTCTCCTCAAGTGGCCGCCACCTGGTCAGCGCTTGGGTACGTACGTGAGCCTCTCCCGACGGCCGGCGTTCCTCGTTCCAAGTTCTGAGTCTTTTCTGGTGAGGTTGGAGAGGTGGTCCCCATGATAACGCCACATGATGTATTTCTTGAATCAAGGAAAGACCTCGCGGTTCGTGATGCTGCCTGCCATAGTCGAAGGGAGCGTGATGACGGTCTTTGCAGCGAGTAGGGAGAGAAACATGCCGGATACACCGGGGTAATTTTGAGTTTGACGAAGTTCAAGGACGTTGAACAGACAAATGAAAGATTGAAAGGCCCTTCTTTGTCGCTCGGTGTCGAGACACGACACGACCGGACACGACGGGACACGACGGGTTTTTCGGGCCGTTTTTTAGGGGAAATCTCCCCGGAAGTCATGAAGTCATGCGATTTTTTTTTTTTCTGCCACCGCACTTCTCTGTATCCACTGCTGTCACTGCTCATCCGCAGAGGAGAGTCCCTGGTACATTATGCGACCTCGTGGTTATTCAAGATGGATCCTCGATCACTATGTAGTTGTTGATCACACACTTGTGCAAACATATGGCAAGCCGGTGTCTGTTGACAACGATCTTGCTGCAGCTGAACCTACAGGTGACGCGGGCCATCTGTTCACATGACAAGCCCAAAGAACGAATGTTCTTTGTTTCTACGCCCCTCCTGCGAGGCACAGCGACCATCATCACTACCCCGCCGAGGGGGCATTCCGTTGCTGCAACGCCATGGAAAACGAGCAAGAGCCCAAGCGCCGCGGCCGGTGGATCGTGAGTGGGAGTTGGTGTAGTGGTAGCTTCTTCGTGACGGCGATACAATATCCTACCGATACATCGCTTGTGCACCGCCGGGTGCAATTTCTCGCTGCTGATTTCAACAAGAACAAATTTTGCACTTGAGCGTTGCGAAAGGTTACGCCGGATGATGGTCGGTCACTACATGCCCCTCTCGACAGCTGGCTTCTGCTGTCGTCTGGGGTAGCCGTCTGGGGTAGCAACACTCATGCGATTCTCGATGGCCGTTAACTCGCGTTGCTTCGTCCCGAACGGACGAATTTCTGCTCGTTGTCCTGGCTTCAACAACGGCAATAATGGGGGTCAGGGCGAATTGGATCAGGCGCGCATGCGGCACCGTCTGTATATAGAATGTTCGATCGGCGCAAGTGTCACCCCCTCGATCACCACCACCTCATGGCCTCTGCCTCCCCCCCTGTGAAGCGGTTGCCCTCGTTTCCCTCTATCTTGCAAACATCGTGCGTGACACCGCGCAACAACACCTCAGGTGGAGGAAGAGGAGTTTGCCCGCGCGTGCATCAATGCGTTCAGCTGTGGGATGCTGGCGGACGTTGAGGATGGTACCACCCTCCGAGCCTTCCTGGCGTCACGACTGCACTGCCAGCCCATGAGAGGTGTGTAGTGATGTCAAGTGTTGGTATTGCGAGCAGTTGATTCATCGTTGGCGCCATGTAGAGTTCTGGTGTCGTAAAAGCTGCTGCTTCGTTCTTTCTGTTTTCCCACACGAGAGAGTTGAATATGTAGACTACATGGGTCTCTTGCAGTCTCCAGCAGCGCTCGCAAGGATCGCGAAGTCCCAAGATCCCGCTCTTTACTGCCGTGTTTCTGCTCCCGTGTACTGTATGCATACATTGCTGCAAAAATTGCACAAAAAATGCGAACGAGCGACCTCGTTTATGCATGCGTATTAAATAGTACGCGCCCAGAAAGTCCATGAGGTATGTATGTACCTAGGCGACGAGAAGCAATCGCCCACAGCGCGATGGTGAGCGTCGTGTGTTGTATTTTTTTTTTATGTATGCGGTCGGTTGCTGTCAAACCAAGCCAAACCTGTTATTTCAGCTGGTTATTTTCCGTCTTGAGTGCACTTGAGGAAATGGGCCGCAAATTCCTTCTCGCAGCTGAAACGAAGCATTCGCGGGGTCCTCTCTGCTGGTGGCAGAGGATCGTCGTCCCAAGGCGCACTTTGACCCCTCGTGTCGCGAGCATAGCGGTCGGTGGGGGGGGCAGTCTCCCACGCCCTTCCGATTTTACGGGGGCGTTCGAAGTCCTCTCATTGCTGTTGAGACGAGGTCAGGGGAGAAACTCCGTGGGGGGGGGTTGATACATGTACCGCCATGTGTAACCTACTCGCTCGAGCTTCCGTAGGTGACAAATGGTACCACACCCCCAATTTTGGACAAGCGGGTGCTATTGACCCCCCGCCCATTTTCAAGGCTCGACTTCTCCGCAGCGACAATGAGTGGGGGGCGTCGAAAGAGCATGAACGTTGGAACCGACCGAGCGAGAGCTTTCCCAAAACGTGTCATTTGTTTGTACTACATACCTTTCGCCCGCATGTTACCTGCGGTAGGTGCTTTTGCGTACTGAGAACGTGATGAGTGGCTCGAGACCCAAATCCTCTTCGGCTGTGCATAGGTATTTTTCAACGCACGCGGCGGTGCTCAAATGTTCCTCCGCCTGCCCGATTGGAATCGTTTTGCCGCGTTCAAGTCACCAAAAAGCTCCACGGCAGCAAGGGCATGGGGAAGAGGCTCTACCGCAGGGTCCAAGACTCCAACCCGGCGTCCATGGACGCAGTTGCTCACGAGCTGAAGGTTCTAGAGGAGCGCTTGGCGGCCAAGCTACTCGCAAACTCCGACGGGTGGCCGGGACTCATGGACAGGAGGGCAGCCCAGGAAGCGGCATCAGCCTCCTCGTTACTCGGCACTGGACGACGGGGCGGTCTTGCGGGCGTGTCGACGGGAGCTCTGCGTGAACCGCTCCCGCCCGAGAGGGCGAGGAGCGGGAAGGCGGGATACGTTGGAGGTGATGTGGGAGCTCCTGGGGGTTCGGGGCACAAGAAACAGCGCCACCCGTCCATCGCGAAAGTCTTGCCAAGGTTGGACCATCGTCGCCGCCCGTCGACGGGCACGGCGCTAGCAGCACCACCGACATCGACGCCAAAATCGGCAGCAGGAGAGGCGGCGACGGGGGTCCACTGCCGGCGTGCATCTAGTGACACCAGCTGTGGCGTCATGGAGGCTACGCCCAAACACCGTCGCCGGCGCATTTACAGCGTCGGCGAAGCCTTTCAGACGAAACAGTCTAAGCAGCACCACCGCCAGTACCTGAGCCAGCGCAAGGAGCAGAAGCGCGACCACGAGCGTGCAACGACGACGGACGGAGGGGGGGGGGGATTGCCGAGCCCGGTGCGGAGCCCCGCTGTCCCTTTGTCATTCCTCGACCCGACCGCCAGCACTACCCACGGCGAGGATGACGATGACGACGACGACGACGACAACGACAATGGCTACGTTGCGGGCGATGCCAGAGAGTCCGAGCGCAGGTCAACCGCGGCCTTTATCGCGGCTGTGGAGTTGATCGACAACGCGGGCCCCGTGCATCTCGGCTCCGGCTTCGGGGGTTGTGACGATGTCGGTGCGACCAGCGGCGATGGCACCAGTCCCTTCTTCGACGGCGGCGGTAGCTTCAGCAGTTACCGTAGCGACAGCGGGTATTCTTCTCTGCTGAGCAGCGCTCAAGGCGAGAGCGGATCGCGCTTGGGAATCGACGGTGTTGCATCCACAACGTCCACTGATCATTGCGACGTGACCCCTCGCACTGCCGATCCCGCTACAACTGTCGACCCCAGCCAACCACCGACACGTGAGCAACAACAGAAGGGCAACACTCACGTGCACAGCCTCTACGGCCGCAAAATACCGCCGGAGGCCGCACTGGGGTACGCGATGGTCCCCGCTCCGAGGCTAGACCAATACGCCGTCCGCCGCGCTTCCGCCGCGGGCGGAAATGCTTCTGGCTCGTCCGACGCCGACTATTATTCTTCCCTCGGGCATTCAGCGATTGAGCGGCAACGGGTGCAACAGCAGCAGCAGCAACAACAACAACAACAACAACAGGAGCTACCTTGCATGGCATGGCCGTGGTTTGACTCACCAAGGCTCAGGGGAGGGGTGAGCGGTATCACACCACCGCCCGCGTCGACCAAACCAGAATGTCAAGGGTTGTGCGAGGGGGGCAACGACACAGAACGTACGGAAGGGGGTGGTGGCGCAACCACGGCGTCGGAGGAGGCTGCCTCGTCCTCAATGGTGACGGGCGTGGACAACTGGCAATGGGTGAGTGAACGCGTTGTCCACGACGGAGGTTTGAAATGTGCGTAGTTTCCGGTTCTGAGGCTGTGGTGCAGCACGTGGTGAGGAAGTTCAGTAGGTCGTTGTTTGTGTGCGCGCTTTTGCCGTCGTGAGCCCTCAGCAGAAGACATCGTTGACAGGTCGATGTTCCTTAATAGCGCCGCCCCTACCCAACCCCCCCCCACCCCCTCGGGGTTGGGTTTTCGTCGCTTGGCAACGACGTTGTAAAACAAGCC